AGTCTCCTTAATCTTTTGTTTTACTTTCTTAGAAAGAGATAATAACCAATGATATTGTATCTATTATAATATTTTGATGTTTATGCTTTTGACTTATAATTCTTATCATGTTAAATTTGAAGTTTGAAGTTAAAAAATCATTTATATAATAAACAAAAACTATGGTTTAAAAATCATTAATAAAAAAGTAAAAAGAAAACTAAAAAGAATCAAACTTTAAAATTATAAGCACCCATAGTTGCCTAAGAGTGCATGAAAGGGAAAAAGTTGTGAGTTATATGTAGACTTGGCAGACAGGCGGGTTGGATCAGCTTAAGGTTAGGTCAAAATGGATAACTAGTCAAAATGAGTTGGGTTAAAATGGGTCATGGGTCAACCTGCGGGGTTAACCCAATTATTTTTTTTTTCTATAATTTGTACCTATTATCATTTAAAGAAAATTATTCAAAACATTTAGAAAAAAAATTCAACATCTTAAAAAAAAATTCAACATCTTATAAAAGGAATTTTTTTTCTCATTAATTTAATGTATATATATTTATAGTTCTTTAGAATCATTTTCTCCACCTCCCTTCAAAAAATAACATTAATCAAATTCAAGAACACCACACATTTATAAATCTTAATAGAAAAAAATAATAATAATAGTAGCATGACAACCAAAAAACACAAACCCCATTGGAACATATTTGTTTTGATCGTTGCTTTCAAAGAATCAATCAATTGAATGCATCTAAGCAAAGGACAAGATCAAGTAGAATTTTTACCTAGAATGGAGAGAAAACTAAAAAACATAAATAAATAAATAACTTACCTTGAAGGCTTTAGAGAGAAAAGTTGGTGACAAAGAGAGCACTTGTCAAACTTAAAGGAGAAAGAAAGAAAGGGCTAAGTGGATGCGATGGTGACTTGATGAGACTAAGATCTAAGTCTGAGATAATGTTAAAGACTAAAGAGAAAAGGTGGAGTTGAAGCTTGAACGTCGAAGGTTGTATGAACTATGGAGGTTGAAGAATATGAGAAGAGGTTGAAGAATATGAGAAGAGTTTGAACTTTGAAGAGTTAGAATCTTAGAGAGTATTAGGGCAAGTAAGAATAAGAAAGGTCGGGAGGTGAGTAATAAGTAGAGTGAGATTATTTTTCCTTCTAGAAGATGATGAGTTAAGAGAATCAATTAGCTAATTAGAGAAAATTACTCAATTATTAGAGGTTTAGGTGGGGTTGGGAATTGAAAAACAAAATAAATAAATAAATAATAAAAAATTTTTAATTTTTAGACAGGTAAACGAGTCAAACCTGTTAACCCGGTGGATTAACCCGTTATTGACCCATGACCATCGAGTTCTCTTAACGGGTCATTAACGAATTGCGGGTCATAAACATATGACCTTAACCCGTTTTAAATGGACGGGTAATAGGCGGGTTAGCGGATTGGGTAAAAAATTGCTAGGTCTAGTTATATGTGTAATATTTGTTTGGTTTAGAGTTTATTATTTATAGGTTATGTATGTGATTTCTTTTATTTTTATTTTTGTAATTTATTATTTTTATTTTTTAAAACTATTGTATTATATAGATATTAAATATAATAAATATGTATAATTTCAATTATACAAGTACA